GACGTGTGCCTTGGAGCTCGTTTGGACGCCTCCCAGATGCACACCCAGGGCTGGAGAGGTTTTGTGGGCCCTCCGTGGGTGCCGTGCCCAGCTGACTTGAGCAGTGGGATGCCCGCGCGTCCCCCACGTGTCCCCAGTGTGCCACCCCTGCTCTCCCTGCAGGTCGCCATCCAGCTGAACGACACACACCCTGCCATGGCCATCCCTGAGCTGATGAGGATTTTGGTGGACATCGAGAAGCTGCCGTGGAACAAGGTAGGGAGACCCAACCTGGCCCCTGGGTCCCCTCTGCTTGCATCCACCCTCCTGCCCGCCCGTGGTAGAGGAGCTGGGGAACCAGTTTCGTAGCTGCTGGTGGCCCTGGGGACGGATGTGGAGCAGTCAGGTTGGGTTGAACCAGTATGGAGATGGAGGAGCCAGCTCGGCTGGGCTGCTGGCTGCCGTGGGAGGACCATGCGTGGGTGCTGGCACCCGCCCGGCGCTGCCTCCAGCCTCGCTGCTCAGCGCCGGCTCTCCCCCCGGCAGGCCTGGGACATCACCAAGCGTACCTTCGCCTACACCAACCACACGGTGCTTCCCGAAGCCCTGGAGCGCTGGCCGGTGGACCTGGTGGAGAAGCTGCTCCCCAGACACCTGCAGATCATCTACGAGATCAACCAGAGGCACCTGGATGTAAGTGCCTTGGGGCGGCGCAGGAGCCCTCTCCGGAGAGGAGGACGGCGATGGCACACGTTGTGCCGGCGGGGTTAGGGGGAGGCACAAACCAGTGATGTTGGGTGTGTGGCCGGGTGGTTCTGGCTGCTATTTTGGGAGGCTGGTGTATAGGAAAGCCCTTCCCGCCAGTCTGTTGCCATCCCGCAGTTAGTGGCTATTTTAAAGACTTCACCCATCGCTCCAGGGACTTACCTGCTGGCATTGCTTTGCTCCCTAAACGCTAAATGCATCCTGGGGGATGAGGTTGGGGGTACAAAGGAGATGGTGGTTCAGCCTCCTGGTCTGGTAGCATGAGGCTTTTGCCCAAACAGCCCCGCTGGCCAAGCATGTGCCCACAAGCCCGTCTCCATGGGGGCTTGGGGGTCCTTCTGTCCAGACATCCGTGCTGGGGAAGGGCACCCTTTGGGAGGGGGTTTGCACCGTCACTCTGGAGTAAAAGCCACCGCTCTGGCTGGTGCCAAATGCGTTGGAGACGTTGCTGTGGCCCCCTCCTCGGGAGCCATCGGGTGGGACATCCCTAAGCACCAGCACCGCTCACCGCCTCTCCGGCCTCCACCGGCAGCACATCGCGTCCCTCTTCCCTAACGACGTGGACCGGCTGCGGAGGATGTCCCTGATAGAGGAGGGAGGCACCAAGAGGATCAACATGGCCCATCTCTGCATCGTCGGCTCCCACGCTGTCAACGGCGTGGCGAAGATCCACTCCGAAATAGTCAAGACTCAAGTGTAAGCGCATGGAGGGAGGCGGTGGTGGATCACCCTCGGCTTGGAAATGGTGGTGGTGCCAGGTGGGCGAGCCTGAAGCTGTCCCTTCCTTGTCCTCGCAGCTTCAAGGACTTTGCAGCGCTGGAGCCAGAGAAGTTTCAGAACAAGACCAACGGCATCACCCCACGGCGCTGGCTCCTGCTCTGCAACCCGGGGCTGGCGGAGCTCATCGCGGAGGTAACGGCGTGGGGGGGA